GCGGCGTTTTGCTAGCTAAAGTTGTTTTGTCTCGAGATTTTTGACTAACTGGGGATTTTACTAAAAGGATTATTCCTCTCGCCCTCATAGGCTATTGACTCAGATGGGCGCAAGATAAAAATAGCCGGGTTCCTAGGTCAGCGGTCTTTAGAGAAAATTCAGAATGAGTGGACGAAGATTCTCACTGGACTGACTTGAGTGTCTCGGGTGAAGAAAGTCATTGAACCATTTTATTGGCTCATTACATTTTTTGGTTTTAATTGAGGACAAAGTTATTAAGCAAGCTGGTTAAGCCGCAAAATTGCACAAAAATGCTTAGAAATCTCACTTTTGTTGTTCAATTTGCATATTTTAGCATCAGAGCAAAAAAGGTTTTGTTTTTTCGAGCAACTATTGAGCAACGTTTGATTGTTTTTTGACCAACTTTTGAGCGACTTTTTGAGAAATTGCGGGAAAATTTTTGGAAAATCTCGAGCAACTTGTGGAAAGCCCTAGCTACGAGTGTTTATTTATCCCCATTATTTATTTATTTATTTATTTATTTATACATTCATTTATATTAGCTTCCTTTAGTAAAAAGCACTAGAGGATATATTTCTCTGTCTGTTAATAAATAAATATAAAGTTAAATAAAGTATATAGAGATGTACTTCTAAAATCAAAATGAAATAAGGATGAACATTTCTTCGCCTTATTATAATACACTTTAGAAAAAATATGAACTGTAGAAGTTGTAGAGGGGTTTTCAAAAGTCTGCATCTTGAAGAACTTTCAATGTTCTGAGGGATTTTTTACTCGTTAGATACGAGTTGACTGTTCGTGATACAGCCGACTGAAATCTTCGACTCGAAGCTAAGCTAGTGGCACTGTTACTTCGGCTTGATATCGCCGACCTCACGGGCGAAAATCGATCATTTTCTGAGCGCAAGTCGTCGCCGGGAATAGAGGCAACGGAAATCTTGGGTACCTTCGGCTCGTCGGGTTTAACGGGCTTTACGCCTGGACGAAAGGAAGACTCCGGAGACAACTGTTCGGCGTAAAGGTTCATTATTTTACTCAAGAAAGCCAAAGATGAAGAATTATAGACACTAAAATGAGAGTACCAGTTGTATTCGTCATCCATGGTGACTCTGTCTTTGGCGAGATTGCCGGTAGACGAACGAAAATGTGTTCGTGACATTCGTCGCATCAATGACTGTTCGCTTAATCTTCGGATAAGTGTAGTTTTTGCTATTTTTGTTCTAGTTATTCCACGGCCTGCTGCGACAGGTTCATTCTCTTTGGGCAAAGCCATTACAAATCTCGGGCTCTGGAGGGCCTCCTGGTCGTAAACACTAGGCGATTTAGCGCGCGGAGGTGAGTTGTTCACAATATTTTCAATAGCAGCCTCCGCTGGTTGCTCTAATACTAATTCTGGCCCAACTTCATCTTTGCGTGATGTCAGACCAGATGCGGAAACTGAGTCATTCCACGCATATTTTCGTCTTCGAAGTTGCGTTTTTAAATCTTTCACTTCTTCTAGATCTTAAGTTTCATTTGAGCTTGTAAGTTTTCGTGATATTCTCGTCTTACGTTTCAATTTTTTCTCTTCAGACCTCACAATGAATTTGTCCGAAGGTAACTGTACAGATTCCTTTAAAAGAACAATTTTCTTGTTTTGAACTCTTTGCGGATTAGCGCGTCTTGTGTCGACGGTTCTATTAATTCCATATTTGCTATCTACAAAGCTACGAACTTGACCTTTTAAAGGGGGCTCATCCTTCGAAGAAATAAACTCCAAGAAAGGGTTCACTTGAATATTCGCTGATGCATTACCTTCGGTCAGCAAAACCTGCGCGCAATTTTCGTGGCCGAGTCGTTTAGCTTCTAAGTAAGGAGTTCTGCCTTCGTGATTCCTAACGTCTATGTCGACGTGAAATTTTTTCAACTCATTAAGAAGAAACTTTACCAAGTCGACGTTACCCGTTCTGACAGAATGCATTAGTGGAGTATTCCCGTCAAGATCCTGCAGATTTAAATCGACATCCTGATCTGCCACGGTACAAATAAGCCGGACAATGTCTTCTTTCGCGTTCATACAGGCGTGAGATAACACATGTCTACCTTGTTGATCAACGGTGTTTACATTCGCACCATGCTGCAATAAAAGTTTCAGCAAATTGTGACGCGTTCGGGATTTGTCGTCTGGTAGCTGGGCGGCGCGCATGAGAGGAGTTAATCTTTCTTCATCTGCAAAGTTCACGTCCACTCCGCTCTCTAGAAGGTGCCTCGTCTGGTAGATTCGTCCATCGCATATTGACTCCTTCAGCCTTAACATACTTGGAGTCGTCAAAGTACCCTTCATGGTGGGTGTAAGAATAAGAGACAGTTAAACAATCTCGTGATGTTGCGCGTTCTGGCTAGAAGTCCAATATTACCTCCTTAAACCTCCTCTTCCCGATAAACTTAACAACAAATTGCGGATTTATGAAGCCACGGTATTGTTTCGCAAATTGAGCAACTATTATTGACCTTTGTGTTATGTTACGACAGTTGCTAAGGGGAATAATGAAAATTTCTGCACATCGTCGACAAATGCTTTCCAAAAAACCACCCACTCCACAAGATTTTCAATTCAACTCACCAACGCAATAACCTGACACCCGCAATTGCAGAAAGAAACCAGATTGTCCACTCGAAGGAAAATGCCTCCAATCAAATGTAATCTATCAAGCCACTGTAACTACAGCGACGACAACTGAAACTTACGTCGGACTGGCAACAAACTTTAAGGAACGTTACAGAAACCATCAGTCCTCCTTTCGACGCTCGAACAGAAGAAATGAAACGGAACTCTCAAAATATATTTGGACTTTACGAGACTCTAACAAACCTTTCCAGATAAAATGGAAAGTTTTAAAGAAATGTAAAGCCTATAGCAACATTAGCAAAAAATGTAATCTTTGTCTTTATGAAAAGTTCATCATCATTTGTAAAAAAGAGCTTTGTAGCCTAAACAGGCGAAACGGACTAGCGAGTTCATGCCCCCACAGAAACAGATATGTTCTTTAGAACTCTAGAGAAACGTAGCTAAGAAACAATACATCTGTTACCTAGATACTATCTCTTAACCCATCACTATATTTACTGCCAGCTTTTAATTTTAACGGTCAATCGTTGAAGTTGCCTGATGAGTGTGGTCCTACAATTTCGGACAATACGAAACAGCACTGTCACAATAAACGATCAATGATTACTTCTGAAGCCTGAACTCCTGTGATTATTAATATATATATATATATATATATATATATATATATATATATATATATATATATAGCTGAATTTTTGAAAACATACCTCAAAACGGGCCAGAATATTCGCAAAGGAACCTATAGCGATAGCCAGGTTTCTGGTCACTGCGGTGAGAAAAAACATAGGGGGCTTGCTGTCCTGGATGGTCTCATTGTCAAGCTCAGTCCCTGAGCTAACTCGCCATGGGTTGGAAAGGGGCCTCCATGTCAATCCCTAGGGGGGGAGGGTGCTGCCAAAACGTGGTGCCTTCCGTTAATCTTGCTCTGGGAGAGTCAGTGCACTGGTCATGCCTGCCTTTAGTTTGTCATGTCAAATTCTTGTAATGTTTGAGGCCCATTGGCCAATGAAAGCATTCCCCTCAAGCACGTGCTAGGCTGGGGGGATAGAGGAAGTGAGGGGGGTGATTTAACCTTGAATTCTCTGGTTAGAACTTGTTTAAGTCTCAAGCATCCTCCGTCATTTAGGGCCTTTATACAGCTAGAGTGTATGGCCAAGTCCAGAGTGTCTTTTTGATGGACCTGAATGTTTCTTTTGCTAATCAGGAACCAAGAAGAGAGTCACCTTAAGAGAACCATGGGTAAGAGCTGAGTTTCTTGGCGATATTTGCTTTAGTTGAGTCAGTTTAAGGTGTGTGGGCTCCAGGAGTCCGATGGTAAGGTTTTCATAAATCCGGCTAGATATATAAGGCCATAAAGATAGAATATATTAATGAGTAAGCAACAAGTGTGTACTATTCTTAGAGATTTCAATGAAGATAACAATGCAATGATTGCGATGGACGAAATCGATGTTTACGATTTACTGTATCGATGTAGTAGATTGGAATGTCAGCTTAATGATCTTTTTAATGGGCCAAAGGCCAAGCTAACTAAGAAGAGAAGAGATGATGCTGAAAAAACGGATAACATCATGTGTAAATGAACTTGACAATACATATGGTGATTTAGCGGGAAGTGATGATAATTGAGGAAGATAAACAACGAGAGTTTGAAAGGGATGCAATTTGGAATCAGATGTATGGTGAGGAGGATGAGATGTTGGAAAGATTGAACCGGTTGAAAACAGATAATGACAAATCAAATTATGAATGTGATGAATTAATAGATCGGTTATAGCAGTTAAAACCAGTCAGTAATGTACCACCAAAGTTCACATTTGTGGATGAATTGTATGTACCACCAAAGTTCACAATGAAGCGGTATGCATTTGTGGATGATGAAAAGCACAACAAATATGGTACATTACATATGTATTATATTGGAAAGAAATCGTGTGATGATCAGATTCACAAATAGTTAATGAATCGGTGTTAAGGTTTAGTGTGTTCATGGGGTCATAAGTAGTTACTTTAGTTAGGTTGATTGATCAATCGAAGTAGTTCAGGTGTAATTGTGATGCTAGCAGGCGGTATACCAGTTTTAACCGGTTTTGACTGTTTTGGTGTTTTAGTTAGTGGACGCTGACGTTGTGTGGCAACTTTTGTGGGATCCCTTTTAGAACCAGTTTTATTCATAACATAAGGAAATAAATAATGGTACGTCAAAATCAGATTTACTACTTGGTTACGTTTCATTTTAGTAACGGCAAATTTATCAGTTTTCATCTTTATTACTTCTTTTTTCAGTTCAGCTAATGTGAACGTATTAAGATTACGTCGTAGTTGAATTATTTCAGGATCCATATATTAATACAGTATATAAAACATTGTAATGGGACCTGGATAACCAAATCCAAATACAAAGTGCAAAGAATGCATTGTATAGGCACGTCAAGTAACGTGATTTTATATAAATAGATTATGTTATTTTTCAATTCGATGAATGACTTTGTAATGGGTTTTTAGTGTGTCTATATTAAGGAACTGTTTAATACAATATTCATAGGGTACTCTGATACCTTTCATATATTTGTGAACATTTTTGCAGATTCTATCGTAATCATTACTGAGTATAAATGCATAACCATTGTCAAGGTACTTCTTCTTCATCTCTTTTTGGGCTTCTGAAACATAGTAATTACCAGTTGGCGATTTGAATTCTATGCATAAGCCCTTAAAGTCTTTGTGTTTGTCGAGTATCATCAGGTCTGGTTGGCCTTTCATGTATCCCTCTTTGTATGAATCTAGCCTCTTATCCTCAGTATCCTGGTCTTCCCCCAGACCTGCTACTAATATAGTATCTGGATAATATCTTCTTATGAGGTCCACTACTTTATAATGGAGGTCAGTCTTATTACCAGTCATGATCATTTTATTCCAGGGACTATCAAACAGCTTGTATTGGCCATATTTACGGATTGATGGGAGGACTGTAGTGAATACCGAGTCACGGAATTTTTTTGCAGCTTCTAATTTAGAACTAAAAACAAGTTCATAAAAGCCGGTTTCATCGATAACGGTGCACCATTTACCACGGGTGTCATTTTGTTGAGGTGGCGTTTTACCACCTCAACAATTTGAGGCATTTTGTTGACGCCCCATATGTTTTATATGGTTCTTAGATACATGCCTCTCAATAGCATTTCGTGGTTTACTATAACCAAGTATCTTAGCAATATCCTTACCCTTAAACCAAATATTTTGCTTATTATCAATATATGAAGTCAGCTCGATATTCATATCTTGATTGATATACTTCTTTTCTATCATATATACCATATATATAGGTTACATAATTTTCATACAGACCAATAAAATGGTATATATGATAGATTAAAATAGTTTAGGCCTGAGGTGCCGTTTCAGCACTTTGGACCTGAGGTCGCATTTCACGACCCCAACCCCTCGTCGTTTTGACGGGTCCCTTAAATTTGTCCTCCGCATCAACATGCTTTCTTTTACTCCTTCTCCTCTCCTTCCTCCGTTTCAAAGATTGCTTGTAGGACGCCGGTTAATCACATTTCAACTGTTTCCAGTTTTTTGGAGATTAATTTCTTGTGGTGTAATGTGGAAATCTCTTCTTCCAAATCTTGGATTTTAGTGTATAGCGCATTGAGTTCAGTTTCCTTACTACGGATTTTAGTATCAAGCTTTCTTATATGACCGTCCATAAATATCATTAGTTAGATAATTCTTGCAAGCTGCTCAATGGAATCCAGGAATTAAAGTCGTTACTATAACCCAACCATTTTACCAGAGCTTGTTTCTTCTTATAATCCCTCCGACTGACTTTTTCAATGCGAAATACATCCTGTATTTCCTTAAGTAATTCAGGCTCATAAAAGCTGCCTTGTATTTCCTCGTTGTTGAGATCCTTTAATCTGTAGGTGATTGGGTTTGTAGATTGGATTTTATCGACCAGGAATATCTCTTCAGTCCAATTAGGTGTGTACCCTTTATCAAACACTTTTCTCTTATACTTGCTTATCCTGACTTTATCACCAATTTTGAACCTAGGCTTAGGTGATAATTGCTTCACATCACCATATAGATTGAAATACACGGCACTTTCATTCTTCTTTTTACTGGCTTCTATACGTGTTATTTTAATGGAACTGTGTTTGGTGTTATTATACTGGCTCAGTATTTTTGGTAGTATGTCTAAATAATTATATGGTATTACCCTGGACAGTGAACTGCTTCCACATTTTGGTTTTAATTGTACGATCCCATCTTTCATTCCTCATTCTCGGTTGAGTACAGTGTTATGCTGTTCTTTTCCAACAGTTCCCTCATATTTTTGTTATAATATTCTTTCCCTTTATCAGTCCAAAGATATTGTGGCCTACAGCCCTCTTTGAAGATGGTTTTGAATGCTTCTGTGACAGTTTCCCCTTCTTTATCCTTCAATGGGACAATCCAGCCATATTTGGAGAACAGATCTAGTACCATGAGAAGGTATCTGTAACCCTGGTTCCATTTGAACTGTTGCATTTCAACCAGATCTGAGCACCAAATTTTGTCAATACCGGTTGTAATAACCACAGGTAGCCCAAGCTCGAAATATGAGCATCGGCGAGCATCGGCATTGTTGCGTAACATTCAAAATATAAAGATTTGTATGGGAAAAAAAACCTATCGTTTCTGTAACCTACGAAAATGAACGGATTTCA